AAACAAAATTAATTCAGAGATATAAAATAAAGATTTATCTAAATATTTGATTATATTTTTAATAAACATATTCATGCAAATATAATTATTTTTTAAATAAGAAATAAATGTGAAAATATCTTTAACAAATTTTTAAAATATAAAATTTAAAAAAATATATAATAAATAAAATCCAAATTTCAATTTAAAGTTAATTTTTAGTTTTTTTTTTTGAAGTTTTTTAAAGTTTTTTTTTATGAATTTATTTTTATTCTATTAAATAAATAATATTTTTTCAAAAAAATATATCATAAAAATTTACGATAAAGTTAAAGAAAAAAATATTTTTTATAAGAGAGCCCGCTCGATTTAAATTAGATCCACCGGTTCATAATATCCAGGAACAATATAAATTGTCTTACACTAGAAGAAGATCATTCCTTTTCTATTGTTGATTTTTTAGCACTGATATTGCATAATTACAAGAATTTTCAGAAGCACAATAATAATTAATAATAAAAAGAAACGTAGATAATATAATGGAAAATAACGTCGCCATTGCATTAAATCAGATCCGTCAAAATTCTAATTTTCACATGTGCGATACTGAAAACAGCGAAAAATAAAACACACACCCAATCTGTCATCAAAAAATATAATTACGAAATGAACACACTCCGTATAATATTTTAGACACGTCTAAGATTATTTATTTGAAGAACAAACGCGATAAACGAACAAACTTTTCATCAGAAACCAACAAAGAGGTGAAAACACCCATGGTGAAGGTAGCCAGTAACTAGCGAATTATAACTTTCGGGTAGGTTCGGCTAAAACCGAATTTAACCGATCCTTCCACCATTTCAATCAAAAATACAAGTCGTTGAATTACTATTTATATAATTTTTTATTTAACATATCTTTACTGTATCATATAAGATATTATAAAATATTCATTCTTTATTTTAATTAAAAAAAATAAATATTTAAATATTTTAATAAATAATAAAATTAAATAATAAAAAAAATTTGAAAGATTGTAATTAATTTGATAATTTTTCTAATTAAAATAAAAGAACAATTAAAACATTTTTTTAACATAAAATATAAGTAAAAATAAAAAAAATTAATGATATATATTAAATTATGTAAATATGTAAGTAAAAATATCAAAGCGATATAATTTTATTAAATATATCTGTTTATTTTTTATGTTTGAAACGTCTTATTGTTTGAAAAAAATTGTAATTTCTTCTAAATTAAATATATGTTTTTATTATTTATATATACATTATTATGTAGTTTTAAATTTCTATTATTAATTTTACTACTTAAAAAATAATTATTATATTTGATTTGCTATACTGAATAAAAAAAAATATTTATTGAAATTATAAAAAGACAATATAACATACGTTATATATTTCTCTGTATGAATTATTGATTTATTTTCTTTAGAATAACTTAATTTATCGTTGTTAATTATATTTATATATATTTAATTGTCAAATAAAATTAAATAACATTTCTTAATTATTCGTGCGCGCAACAAACATAAACGTAGTGAAATATTTAATATAATGATATGTATATTAATCATTATAGTATAGCATGATATATAATTTTGTATCATATCACTAGAATATGGTATAATGCTATATCAATTTCACTGATTATATTAATACATATCAAATTTAATATGACATATAATGATATAATATATAATTATATATTATGTATATATATATATAATTTTTATCAATTTAATTATTACCTGAAAAATTTGAATGCGTATAGGATTTTACTACGAAACGTTTTAGAATGCATTAGAACAATTTAGTACGGTATATCCACGTGATTGTAACTTTCTAAACGTATTACGCGGTATTTTTTGATAAATTATGCGATATATGTATAATATTAAGAACCGTAATCGTTAGTATCTATGACTGCACTGGTTACTCATTTCAGATTATCTATCTTAAATTTTTCATATATATCTATGTGCATAGGAATATATCGTATCGTATTTTATCCATGTATGTATGTATGTATGTATGAGAGCCCATTTATTATATTATCAGATTTTATCGTTTTATCCAGTTATGTCTTTGTAGATATAGATCAATCAATATAGATAAATCAATATTTATTTTAAATATTTTTATCAAATTTTTAAAAAACATTTTTTTACCAGTTTAATCCAAAATATATATACAAATATTATAAAATATAATATAATAATTTATAATTCTATAAAAAAAAATAAAAAAAAAATTAATAATATTTTTCATTGAATATTGTACAAGATATGTCGTAAAAATATTAATAGAAATCTATTCTTTTTTTAATTTATATTCAGACTAAATTTAAAGAGATGTTATTTATATATTAATTTTTTTTAATAATATTCAGTGTTTTTATTTTTTGCATAAACAATAATAAAATTATAATGAATTATATTTATATTAAAAATATTTTTTGAATATTATGATTACATATTATTGATCTATATTTTTGTTGTTGTTCTACATATTATTGTAAAAATACTATATTATATATTTGTATAATATTTTTAATATATTTTTTAAAGTAGTAAATATTGATAAAATGAATATAAATATTGAGAACATTGATAAATTAATGAAGATGATCCTAATTTTAATTGTAATTTTATTGTAATGTTATTATAAAAGAACACTTTAATGGTTTACAATAATTATCTATTATTGTATAATTCAAAGATTCATTATCACCATATTTTCTAAGCGTATAGAATCAATGAATGTATAGCTTTTATATATTCACATTATGCAAAAATTATATAAGTAATATATTATTATTAGATTTTCATAATTTAGTAGGAAATAACTTCCATTGATTTTGCAAATAGTATGCTATAGTATCTTAACATTGAAATTATAATAACATTCATCTGTATAAAAAAATGCATTTGCCTAATGCACAGTGGAAATGTTTCAGATTTTATGGAAAACTTGTTGATTACATAAGAATTACTTATTGTTAATATTTGAATCCTCATTATTATCTGTATCAGGTACTTCTAAAATTTTTGGACCATATAGAAGAACGTATGCGCAATGCCAATCACCGCCGCCGCTGAGTTTTAATACTTCTTCACTAGTTACAGCGCTAACATTTTCATCATCACATTTTAACCATGTGTCATTTTTTTGTCTAACCCAAGCTACATAATGGCCACTACTACTTGATCGTCCTCTATGTGTTAGAACTGCTTGTAATGAGTAATAACCACTGTTATTTGATCCTATATCTGTAATTATAATAATATATATAATAATATAAATATATAAAATATATAAAAGTATTGATTTTCCATTTATTTTTAATTTTTATATTTTATTACCATCTGAAAACCAGAAAGATTCTTGTTTAACTTTTTTTTTATTATCTGTTTTATCTTTTCTATCTTTTATATTGCGAGATTCTTCTACTAAGCGATCTTCATATTCTTTAAATTTTTCTCGCATTGGTATAAGTTTATTTTGAAGTTCACTGCTACATAATTCAAAAACATCAAATTCAAGTGGAAACTTGACATCTTTAAGAATTTTTGCATTGATTGCTTCTTTTTCTTTGTAATAAAAACGTACAAATTGTATTGTTAAATATGCTGGTAATCTACTAATTTTTGACTGTAAAATATATTATTTTTTTAATAAAAAAAATTTTAATAATTTAAATAAAAAATTTTTGTTTTGTACTATATAAAATTTTTTTACCGTTTTTGTATACATTGCATCTCTGCCAAGAGTTGGTGACATTTTTGTAATTTGTTCTTGCATCTTATTTCTAAGTCCAGAATGCATATATTTAACTTCTGTTGAAATAAAACAACTCAATTGCAAAAATTCTTCTCTTCCTTTAGTAGGGGGTTCATCTTCAGATTCTATACACTTTAATTCTGTATCAAATGTTCCTCCAAAATATTGTTCAATTAATGATCGAGGTTTATAACTTTGTCCATTATTTTCTGAGGCAGGATTTTCCTATAATTATTTGATATATGAATACATAATATATATAATTATATTATAATTATATATAAATATATAATTTGAAATATTACTATTTATATTTAAAATAAAATATTGAGTCATTTAATAACCTTTGCTGGTAATTTTTGTTGCAACATTCTAATAAGTTCAGTCCAACATTCATTAGCATCTTGTTGCTGAAATCCACCATGTTCAGATTTTTCAGCAAATCTTGGAAATGCTAAATGCATCATTTGGACAAGAACAACAGGTGGCAAAGCTGATCCTTTATCCATACTATCATATAAATCTCTTAATGCAGCAGTTATACTTTGTGCAGGTACAAGCGATGAGCTACCAGCAGCTGCAAGTCCCCCTGGAAAATTCTTTAAAGCATCTCTCAACTCAGGGACAGTTTTCAAACATTGTACAGTTGCATTTAAATAACAAGTATTTCCTAAATTTGTCAAACCAGCTGGTAAATCTAAAGCAGTGGCTAATGCAGATTCATTCATATCTTCTAAAAATAATGGTTTTTCAGTTGGTTCTGCTGGCACATCTTCTTCTTTAGAGCCCATCATTAATACAGTAATACCCTATAATAAAATTAAAATAATAAAAGTTTTACTCTTTCATTATAATTAGTTATAATAAAATTATCAATATTATTATTTTCTTACATCTTTTAATTTGATATTGCCCCAATCATCATCCTTTAATGTCATTCCTTTTAACATAACTTTTTGCCTTTCTGGTTGCACTCCTGTCAGTGCAAAAAGTTGTGCTTTAAACAACATTGGTTCTTCATCTGTATTAACTTCTACATTAGAAAAAAGTTCTTTTCCCCACTTTACTTTAACTAAAACAAAATACTTTATATATTAAATACTGAAAACTGTTCGCATAAAATTAAATAAAAAAGTTTAAGGTTAGATTTTTCAAAATTTTTAATTTTTTTCAATACATACTTGAATATTGAGGCATTTCTTTTCTTTTCTTTATAAATAAACTTTTGTTTTTGTAAATTTATATCACTTGATGTACTTAATTTACAATATATTTTTTCACTAGTGATTATTAATGTGCATAAAGTGCACCGTCAGGCATTCGTGTACTAACACACGCGCGCGCGCAAGTATATACATATTCCAAGTATAACATGAATTGTATATAAATCGAATAACATATAATTTACTTTTATGAATTATAATTAATAAATAGACAATTAATTAAAAAATTGATATTATATTATAACTTTTATTTTGATAATTTGATTAATTTAAATTAAGTAATACATAAGAAAAAAAATAAATAATATTAAATATACATGAACTGAATTTTTATTAAATTTTATACAAGATAATAGTATATCTAATTAAACAGATAATTTAGAATATTTTATAAATTAGGACCAGCCTAAAAATTATTAATTTCAAACTATCACATTGTTGTAATCATGACAATTATGATTTCTAATTCCACTTATTTTCTATGATATAATAATTATAACAATATATTTATATTACAATATTTGATATATCTTATTATTTTAAAAATTCAATTAAAAATAAAATGTAATGTTATTATACAATATTTAAAATTTCCGTATAAAGAAAATTTTAACTTTTACTTAATGTGAAAAAATTATAGATGCAATTTTATTATATATATATATAAAATTAAGCCCACACTCGTAGAGTTGAATCCCAGCTTCCAGTAGAGAGAGCAGTTCCATCTGGAGAAACTCGTAAACAAGATACTCGATTTTCATGTCCGTATAAAAATGCAACTCGCTGACATTTTAGAGTATCCCATATATTTACAGTATAATCATTATAACCAGCAAAAAGTAATCGTCCACTAATGCTTAAATCAACTGCATTTGCTCCAAATATTATACTTTCTTTTGCATAAACTGCTATTTCTCTATCTGCACGTAAATCGAAAAGTCGACAAGTTGCATCATCAGAACCTGTTGCTACTGCATCACCACCTGGATGAAATTTTACCTATTCAACATAATATACATATCATTTTCTTATAATTTGGTATTATAATATGTTTTATTTTAATAATATAGGCTATGTTAATAACAAAGATAATAAATTTTTACATACAGAATTTACATCAGATTGATGTCCTTCAAAACTTTGAACACATTGACCAGTTCGCATATCCCATATTAAAACCATTTTATCACAACTACCAGAAACAAATGTGTTACCAGTTTCACTTGGTGCTAAATCAATAGACATAACATCACTTGAATGACCAAGAAAGCTTTGTAATAATTGACCACTTTCTACATCCCATAAAGCACAAGTGCTATCTCCACTACCCGTTAAAATTTGTTGATCACTATTAGGAAATACACAACAAGACATATAAGATGTATGTGTAGCAACAGTTTTTTTACGAGTTGATACATCATCTTCTTGACTTAAAGGATATACAGTAACTTTATTATCTAATCCTCTGCAAAAAAGAATATAATAATTAAGATATTATAATTAATGATTATTGTTCTTTTGTAAATTTTAAATATATTTAATACCCGCAAGCAACAAGAGCACCACTTGGAGCATAAGCACAAGCCATTACCCAAATGGTTGGCATAGTAAGAGCATGTTCTTTATTTGTTGTAAAAGCATCCCATATTATCATTTTGCCATCCTAGAATTATTTTCATATTAAAAAATACTTTAAAAGTTTAAATAAAATATTAAATCTATTCTAACTTGTGAAGAAGATACAATATGACGCTTATCTGGTGACCAATCAGAACAAAGAACTTTCGCTTGATGACCTTTTAGAACACGACGTGGTTTTACATTAATGCAACTAATAGTTTCTAATCTATCTGCTACACTAGCAACTGAAACAATAATATTAATTATGTATTTTAATATGATTTACTTTCTATACATTTTTAAAAAACTTTTTATTATTTTTAAAAAATAATAAAATTAATATTTACGAGTAATATCATTTAATTTCTGTCGTTCATCTTCTAAACGAATTTTTAAGCTTTCAGCTTCTTTTATTAATTTTTCTATATGCTCTGATTCAGTAGCAGAATCCATATTTTTATTTGTTTAATATTAAATACTTTTTAACAAAAAATATGTAATTTCATTAAACAGAATATCATTTTTGTATAAAAATTCTGTTATATTTAATTAACTTTATCTAAAATATATGTTTTAATTAAAATAATTTTTATATTGTTAAATATAAAGTAATAATCCATGTAAACAATGGATTATCTATTCTATCATTTATCAATTTTGAAAAAAAAATTTAAAAATAATTTACAAAATGATAGATATTTTTGTATAGATTCACAATTTTTTACATTTTTCACTTCTTTTTTAATAATTTCTTATTTCTTTATTAAATAAAAATTGTAATAAAATATCTTTTAAAAGCAGTTATTACTAATCAATACAATACAACAATAACAAACTTTAGCGCCGGTGCAATGATGCTTTCATATTTAATCAACTTAACCTGAACATGATATTTTATAGAAGTGCAACTTAATAAAATTTTTTAAAATCATAAGTATTAAAACTTTTATATAATAAAATACTAAAAAAAACTCTATTATTCTGTCCTAATTATAAAAATAATTTATTATTAAAAAATATTAAAAATATTATATTATATTATTATATTATTATATTATAATAATTATAATATTAAATATTAAATATTATATTATTAAAAAATATTAAATATTAAATATAATAAATTAAAAACAATATATTATTCTTAAAGCATTGAATTTATGTAATATTATATTAAGGAACAAATAATTTATTAAAATTTATATGTTAGTAATTTAAATAAAATATCAAATATATATTTTTTTCATAATGAAAGAAACTATATAATTATTATAAAAATAATATATGATATACACAATAATATTATTTATTATATAATAATATTATTTTTTAATAATTACATAAATATTAATTATATATTTTTATATATAAAATAATTATTTTAACATGACATTATATATTATATATTATAATATTAACATGCAATTATTGCACAGTATATATTTCAAATCCAAAATTTGGCGCCAATTGTTTGTAACAGCATTGCATAATTCTAAATAATCTCGTACCCAAAATTAGTATATTAATATCTTATTATTATAAAATTAATTAGTCATATATATACATTAAAAAAACTTGTTAGAAATATAATTTATATAATATACTTTTTATGTTTTTTAAACATCAAATAATTTGATTTATGAACTACTATATGTATCTGGATACGAGGTTACGCGCAAATCGATGGATATTGACTTCCTGCCGGTAAGATTATCAGAGTGGGGCTACATGAGACGTTCTTGGACCTGTCTCTGTCTTGATCATTCTTCGTTTCGGAATTCATAGTCCGGTTAACGGGCTTATAATATATTAAAATGGCTCTTCTATCCTTACGTTTGGTTTCTTCGATAGCAAGACAATTGCCGAACGCTACAATTCAGGTAATATAAAAAAATAATTTTTTTTCTGTAATTTGTTTATGAGAAAATATTTAAATGGATTGCCGACATTTTCTACTTTGCAATAATCATATGAATCCATATTTTATTTATCTTAATTTTTACTTTTGAAAAAATTATTAAATTTTTCATTCATTATAACAATTTTTATCAAAATTTTATGATAATTAAAATATGTGTTCTAAATTTTTTTTTTTGTGCAATAGATTATATAAATAGAATAAATAGTAACAAGTTATGTAATAAGTATTTAGGTATTCTGTTTCTAAAATATAATAATAATTAATTTTAATTTAATATTACAGGTTAAATGGCCTCTTAGTATATCTTCTTGCAAATATCATGTATCTTGTACTCGGCGTTCTGCTGAAATTTCTTCCATTTTGGAAGAACGAATTCTGGGTGCAGCTCCTAAGGTAAAATAATTTTATTAATAAATTTTATTAATTTTTTATGTATTGTTTATATAATATTAATTTTTATCAAATGTTACATAATCTGGTAGGCTAATCTTGAAGAAACTGGTAGAGTGCTTAGTATTGGTGATGGTATTGCCCGTGTTTATGGTCTTAAAAATATTCAAGCTGATGAAATGGTGGAATTTAGTTCAGGATTAAAAGGCATGGCTCTGAACTTGGAGCCAGATAATGTTGGTGTTGTCGTTTTTGGTAATGATAGACACATTAAAGAAGGTGATATTGTTAAACGTACTGGAGCTATTGTTGATGTTCCGGTTGGAGAAGAATTGTTAGGACGTGTTGTAGATGCATTAGGAAATCCTATTGATGGTAAAGGACCACTTAACAGCAAATTGAGATTCCGTATTGGTACTAAAGCACCTGGCATCATTCCTAGGTATTTATTCTCATTAAAGTATAAGTATTTTTATCTTTAAATTGTATTTCTTTTAATTTTTTATATATTTTATTTTATTATAAAATTAATCATATTCCAATATCATCATAAGGGAAAAATGAATAATATTATCAATATGTTTGATAATATTATTGAATTAAAGAAATCACTTATACTATGAATTTTAATTCATTCATTTTTTATTTAGTTCAAAAAATAAATTTTATATATAATTGTAATAGAGTAATAGTTTTTTATTTTCTATTCATTTCTTATCTCTTTTTATTTGTAGAGATTAAAAGAAATATTCAAAATAGCAATTTTCTTCCTCTCTTTGAGATCACCTTGTTACTTTATTTTAATTGTTTTAATTTTTGCCAACATTTGCATTGGATATTATTTGTGTAAATTTTTTCACTTTTATTTATATATTGCTGTACATTTTTCTTTCATATAATCATATAATAATTAATTTATAAAAGTTAATTAATTAATGGGTGTTCATGACATAGGTTTATTCTTCAAATAGATATGTTATAGGATATTATAGGATTTATTATATTATAGAATTATATTATAGGATGAAGATTATCATTTTGAATATTTTTTTTATTTTAAATAAGAAAAATCTATATAAAAATTTAATTCTAATTATGTATACATAGAATTAATTTTTTGAAATAAATTAAAAAAAATTGGATCAAAATTCATAGTATATTTAACATTTTTGATTTAGATTGATTTATCAAATATATTAATATTTGATTTTTTCCTATATATATATATATATATATATATTTTTATAT